AAATTAGAGCTCTTTGACTCTTGGAAAGGATGGTTTTAGATGCTAATGTGATGGTTACATTACAAGGCTCCAAAAGCTTGATCTTAGTGTGCTATAGTTTCTAGTTCTTTGTGTTTATGCTATTTAGTTTTCTACCCATATTTTTTTATTTCGGTTTTATACATTTATTTGCTATTTATTTACTGTTTTTATGTTGTATTATTGATCTTGTTTCATGCTTAAAATTTCCTTACATGTTTGATGCAATGTTTCAATTCATGCTATTTTTCTTTCATTTCCATGTTCGGTTTTCAATTTAATTTTTTTAGCATGTTTCATTTGGTTTTGCCCAAGGTTTCCTACACATGTTTTGTTCATTTTTTAAATTACTTTGATGTTGTGTCATTGATTTCTAGTTATCATGTACTTGTTTTAAGATTTAATGCATTTAGCTCATTAGATCCATAGTTTAGATTATGTTTTATGTTCCAACTAGTGTATTTTTTTTAAGCATTTCTGGTCAGTTTTAGGCAAAGCTTTCCTATAACTTTTTGGCTTATTTTCATGTCTATTTTAAGCTAGTAAAACAGTGTTTACAAATTCCTTAGGTAGGGTTGCATTTTTCCTAGCATTTTAGTTCATAGTCTTAGTTTCCATGCATTCTAGTATTTTGGTTTGCATAAATTTTTATTTCCATTTGTGTTTGGTTTTTGCATAAGGTTCCTATAGGTTTTTGGTTCCATTTTTGGTCTAGATTAACCATGTAAATAGTTTTTATTTTTATTTATGTTTAATGCATGTTTAGGTGGCAATTAGTCACGTTGGTCATGTAAGAATTCCAATTAGTTCACTTACAAGTTTAATTTTCTATTTTATTTTAATTTTATACTTTTAAATTATTATGCTTAGTGTATTATTTAAGTGTGTTTAATTATTTTTCATGCCTTGTTAATTTTTAAGAAATTGTTTAAATTTGTTATTTTTAGAAACTTCATATTTTTAACATGTTTTATTTTTAGCAGGTTTAATCTTTAGGTATTTTACTCTCTTCATAATTTGTAGTAATTTAGGTTTAATATATTTGGTAATTTTATTTAGATAAATTTAATTAATTAGTTCACTAAAAAGTTTTTTTGTTCAAATCAGATATATCCGAAGTGTGAAAATTGATACTTATCCCTAGGTCTAGAACTCACAATTCTTGAGGAGACGATAATTTAGAATACTTTTGATCTTATTAATTTTACGATTCGTACACTTGCAGTACTCCTAATGGGTAGCAACAGCCAAAAAGGCTATCTTGGAACACGTATCAGCAGTTTCTTATCTTGAGCGTAGGAAGCCATTTGTGATAGTACATGGTAACATGAGTTACTGGGCATTTTGTTCCATCATATTTTTCAAACTTCAAGACTTTAAATTTCAATGGAATGACCACATTTGGGACTAAATAGAGTTCAGTTGCATCTATAAAGTCTAAATAATCCATCTCTTCGATAACTCACGCTCTCTCTTCTAAAAGATTTATTTTTTGTTGCATGCTTGAATCCTTTTTCACCTTTAAGGTTTTCATCTTTTATCCTCATTCTCTTTAAGATCATCAAAATCTAGGACTTCAATTAGATTATATGCTTTTGCCTTAATGGTATGGTTAGTGTAGCTACAAAATGGCATTCTAGGATATGTGTAAGCATATGCCCCAAACAATGGCATTTATAGGGCCTGTGTGTTTTGAAAAGATTGGCCTTGATTTGGGCCAAACCCAAGAGGGTGCATAAGATCCTTGTTTCTCATTTGAATTGGGGGTCTCTTCTACTATCTTTCTTTTATCTAACTTGTTTAGCATTCCCATCATCTTTGCCAACTCCCTTTTTAACTCTTTTTAAGCTTTCTCGATCTTATCCATATGACTATTTTGCTCTTTTTTCATTTGCCTTATTTGTGAGCGAGTATTATATGAATGACGGGTAGGTTGGATAGGAATCTTCAATGGTTGAGCTATCCTTGAACCCTTAATTACCATAAAATAAGATGCTTGCATTATTACATGCCCATGCCATGAATGAAGGATTATAAAAAAATATTTTAATATGCAACCACCAAGATTTCAAGTTAACACATGTAAAATGAATGCAACAATATATGCAGCCTAATGTTATCTTGCTTTAAACAAAAGAAAATAGATGAAGGGAGAAATTTAACTAATATACACTTCAAAATAACAATTCATGCAACATGATATGTATAAAAAGTTAATCCCCATACAAGAAAAATCAATCATTGCAAAAATGTAAGTTAACTATTGGATTTTTTCTACAATGGGGAAGATAAGGCTCTAGCTACATGTTAGGTTCCTTGTGTTCACTATATGTGGCTTAAGGTTTGATAATCTAAAGGATCCCAAATCGTTCACGATATCTTGTCTATCACAAACTAATAAGGCACCCAACTCCTCACCCTTTATAAGTTACAAGTGAAAAGAGTTCAATTTGAATGGAAGTCTTTTGCTAGCTACTGCGGAGGCATTAAAATCTTATGAAGGCATAAGTACTTTACTCTCTCTTAAAGGGATGGAGCTCAAGTATAGAGCTTATGTTATGCACATGTATATGAATAACATAATAAACAAAATAAATAAATAAATATCCTAAAAAAACCAATTTTATTAGGTTTTTGGATAACACAAATTTATTTACTGGCCTAACTTTCAGTTAGTTCCTAGTGAAATTATCAAACTATCATAACGTATAGATCTATAGACTTGTAGCTAGACATAACTTAGAAGTCGCCACCAATTTTTTTTTTGTTTAATGCGATTGGTCACCTAATTAAATCTATTCCATTTTATAAAAGACTTGACTCAAGTATCTTTAAAAAGTATATTCTAGTCTACGAAACTAAGCTAAGTCTAAAGTACAGTTATGTATAATGAAAGTTATAACACTTTTATAACGCCCATTAAAAGATGGTACCAGCTATTTCGTTTTATCTATTAAGCCTTTAAAAAATCTTACTAAATAATTAATTATTGGGAATTGTTCTTAATTTACTCTAGTACTTTGGCAAAAAATTAAGAAAATTTCTCACCTTAAGAGTATACAAAAAAATTACTATTTCTTTTGTAGAGGCTTTATCATCGAATTATTTAACATTTATTTAATGAAGCTCTGAAAATTTTTAAATTCCAAGGAAAATTAGATATTTCAATTTTTTGTTTAAAAAAATTATTTTATTTTTGGAAAATTAATGTTTTGTTTAAGGAAAAATTGATACTTTCAACTTTTTCCTTAAATATTTTAAAAATATTTTTATTTAAAAAAAATTATACTTCAATTTTTTCTTAAACATATTTTTATATTTTTATTTTAGGAAAATTATATTTCAACATTTCCTCAAAACATTTCTTGAAATATTTTTTATTTAAGAAAAATTGATATTTCAACTTTTTGTCAAATTTTTTTGAAATATTTTTTATTTAAGGAAAATTTTTTTATTTAAGGAAAATTGATATTCCAACTTTTCCTTCTTATTAATTTTATTTCAAAGAAAAATTAATATTTTAACTTTTTTCTCAAATTTTGGAAATATTTTTATTTAAAAAAATTGATACTTCAACTTTTTCTTAATTTTTTGAATTATTTTTATTTTTATTTATTAGAGCAAAGATTCACAAAAAAATTACTAAATAAATAAGCAAAACAACATAAAAAATACCAAAAAAAAAAAATTTAAAAGCTTGACTGAAAAAATGCTTGACTACAATATTGAAATAAGGCTTGACGGCTCAATCAGCTTGGCTCGCTATTGGTTTAAAGTCTGGACTGGGTCGTGATTGAGTTGGTTTAGGCTATTAGGTTGACGTACATACCCTTCACGAACTTATTTTCTTTTGCTTCCTAAACCAAAGTAGTTTTGGCTTTCTATAAAAGCCTAAGTTTTTTTTTTTCAATTTTTTCTTTCCTTCTTCTCTCTTTACAAACCAATTTCTCTGTCTCTCTCTCTAAACAGTAACCAGAAGCTTCAATGCTTTTTTTCAGATTCCAACACAATTACGCTATTGTCATACTTATACGCCATCATCTACCGTAATTGACCGACCATCGTTGAGGCTCAAATTTCATTGGACAATTAGTTTTGGCCTCTTCTTTCAAGTGGTACCATTAGATTCTCACGAAGACATCTCTAACTTTATAGATCAAGCTTTGAGGGTTGTGAACTCAACCTCTTGAGTCTCCTCCTCCACTACTTTGATCACCACTAGTTCAAAGTATGTTCTTCTATTTGCTATTGGCTACCTTTTCATTAAATTTGGGGACTTGAAACCCTTTGAAGGAAACCCAAATCGAAACTTAGAAGAGAAAAAAAATTTATTGATTCTAGTTTTCTTTGGCTTTTGGCTTTGCTTTTTCTTTGTGTATGGTTTATAGGCAATGGACAACTATTTGGCAAAATAAGGTTTGGCAGGTTGGAGGTTGTTAATGGTGTTGTGGATGACAAAGGGCAATATGATTGTTTTTGGTGTTAAGGTAGTGATCTGTTTGAATTTGCTAAGTGTTTGTATAAACGGGTTGTGAATTTTTGTTGCCAAAGTTTCAAAATTTTGGTGAGGACAATAATGGCAGTGGCTATGTAAATGGTGTGTAAGTTGATTGAGTTCATTAGAGGTTATGGCTTAGGTGATTGAGGTTGGGATGAAGGTAAATTCTTTGGAGGTGGCTAAAAAAAGGAAGGTCAGACTATTGAAAGCGGTGATAGAATTGGCTTTGGTGGAAATCGATGGTGGTCTAGTGGTTGCACTTGATTGCGCACTATAGTTCTTTTTTTTTTTTTTTCTCTACATTTCCTTCAATGTTTGTTCCTCCTTTTTGTAGTTTGCAAATGATATATTATATAAGGATGATGAAGATAAGATTTCAATGCAAACCGAGCATCCTATCCCTACAATTTGAAATTTGATTTTATGAAGCATTGAATTTCAAAACTTTAATCTATCAATCTTATCACTTGATTTATCCTTTTTTTTTTTCATTTTCAAAATAATAATAAAAGCAAAAATAAATAAAACAATAAAAGCAAATGGGCTTGCTTTTGGTCTAGAATATAACCCGAGCTTAAAACTATGATAAATCCAAACCCTATTGGATTAGATCCAAAACCCAATTTAAATTAATTTGAGATTTGAAAATAACCCCAAATAAGGGGTTTACAATGAGTAAAACGCATCGAGGTTGAGAAGGCGCCTAATATTTACAAAATTTTTAATGAATTCACAAACGCCCAATGAGTCGTTGGGTGGTCAATCTAACGATTTCTTTGCTTGACATGCCTAAGGTAATACAGTGTATCCGTTAAGGCCACAATCCAAGCCTCTGAATTGCCTTCTCATTGCTGTGTTTACCCAATCACAATTCAAAACCAACAACAGCATCTTACCCCATGGCCTTTAGTTGTTGGGGTGGGCATAAATTTATGGTAATATGAAAGAAACTTCAACAGTCCAGAGGGGAATTCGTTCTTCATACATAGATATAGAGCCTTTACCTGTCTGAAGCCAATCATGTCAAACTACTTGGATGCCTTCAAAATTTAAATCCTCAGATTCAATGTTTAGCCTGCCAATGGTTGCCATCATTAATATGTTGGTAGAGGGGATAGGTAGAACACAATGAAATTTAAGATCAACAACTAAATTTTCATTTAAGTTACTCAAAAAGATCTACATCAGTGACGATTGTCCTGCCCTACACTTATATTGACGATCCCACACGGAAATGTCATAGCTTCATATAACTTAAATGAGATTTTTGCATGCTATGACTTGGGACCTTTGACATAGGATAACATACACATCTTACAAATATTAGCTATATATAAAAAATCTAAACTCTGCATCTTGTAGATTGTTTCTTTTTCCTTTGTCGACAACAGATGCTAAAATTTGAGATTATCCTAACTGTCATAAATTCACAACAAATTTCCTAAAAATATGGCTGTCTATTTAATATACCCAGTTGCATTACATAAGAACTTACATTTCTACAGTGTAAAAGCCAAAACACTATCCCAAAGGATTGGCAGATTGAGAGGTGTTAGAACGATTAAGACATTTTTTCCTGTATCTCCATGCTACTTGAATACGAGTGGCAGCAAGGCTTCTCCAATAGGGAGATTCATACCTGCCATAAGGACAATTTCATCAGTATGAATAGAGAAATACATAATCAATTAAGAGTCCAACATCAATCCTAGCTCTTATTGCCAAAATGTGCCTTTAAATGACCTAAAGGGCAGAATTGATACACTGTAACTTCTATTGGAAACTGGGGGAATGCATGTTTTTACTGAGGTAATGATTGATGAACTCCATATTCTTCACCAGAAATTCAAGAAATGAAGGCAGCGGATACTGAATTGGTAATAAAATATTAACTTCTATAAATGTATGCAATGCTGCTACCACCAAATTCAACTCAACTAGAAAGATGATATATATATCATGAAAAGTTCAAACAAAACTCCATTAAATGATCAAGTGTTATTTACTTTCCCAAATTTTGAAATGCCTGCTGCAGTAGGTAGTAAAGACGGTGACAATTATTATTTTACTAGTATAATCACCAGCCCAGCTACTAACACAATTGAGAACCAGGAAAACTGAGGCTTTAAATTACAGAAGTTTGCAGGAATGTAAAAACATTCCATCTGATCATATTTGAGAGGGCAGAATTTGGTACCCCAGTTTTCTATGTAAAAAGCAAGAATCTGACATGCTAGAAGCTATGGAGGGCTTCTAGTTTCTCAGAGAGAATTTCATAGAGAATAAGAATTTAGAGGCCAAGGAATGAAGTATTGACCTCCTAAGAGAATGTTAAAAACCGCACAAGAATCTCTAGTTTGTGAGTATTCTCTACTAATATTTAAATAATCAGAACAATTGCAGTCATTTTTCTTTTTGGAATATGCTGTACAGCCTAACAGCAAATAAAGTAAAAGGATGCCAAAGAATAATATCAGTGTGTTAATTTGGGTTTACACCATGTAAAGTTTCATTTCCAAGAATAGAATTCCCAACTCAACAGTCACAACAATCACTCTAACAGTCCTAAGTTAAAGCCGTGCAAATCATGATTTTTTATTTGAAAAGGAGAAAATTCTAAGTTTCATATCATAAAACTGCCAAAACTAGATCAGTAGTTTTCAATTCTTTATTCACCAATAAATGTCAAAGTTTTGTATTTAGCTCTGTACATAAAATTTTGAATGTACTTAGTAGTCCTATATAAGGTTTAGGGCAATTGAGACTCCAAAATTAGTTGCTTTACCCAAGGAAAATAACCTAAAAGTTAACAACAGCATGCACACGCTTATCTGAGCAAAAAAGAAAAATACAGAAAGAAAGAAGGAAAGAGTATGCACACACTAGTTTACCAAACTATTGACATGAAAATAACCTGATGGCTCCTTGAACACGAGGATTGCGCAAGAACCTAGAGAACAAACTGGTAACTTCTTCTAGGTCTGCAGCCCGCAGGGAAAATGCTTCAACATTTGTCAGGCATCTAACATTTCGGTTACTAAGCAATCTCTGTGCAGGAATCCTGATTTTCTTCCCATCTGCCACAAAAACCATGTAGATAAAATATCTTTGTCTTGCAGATCAGGAATTCTACAGGCTTAAATACTGCTATTGTGAAGTCTGGCATGATTAGCAATTTGAAAATATTTAAGCATCAAGAAAATGCACCGAATTAAACGTTTGTTTAAAGTTAGAAATTATGATAATACCTCTGTTTACTGAAGAATGCTCAAGACACCACGTGAGTAGTTCTTCACCACAAACATCCCCTTCAGATAAGGGATCTTTGATTCCATTTTCTCCGACACTTTCCATTTTCCCTCGCACTATAAAAACCACCCTTTCAATCAGATTACCAGGAGACAAAACATTGCTTCCTTTAATATAGGTCTTTTGTCGTAATCTCTCACAGATGGCATCTAAAATAGGATCCTCCAAGATAGCAAAAAAGCGAACCTGCAGAATGAACCATATTTTGAATCTCTGAAAGAGCATCTCAATGTTTATAATATCATCAATCAACATAATCCCAGTAATGTTATGCTGCTGACCATCATTTGCATTTTGCAGGTAGAAGTTCTCAGTAGAACCATGGAAAATGATATTTCTAACACAAGATTTATAGAAGTCATCACCATATTCAATGTTTTTAAGAAGGATGAAAAAAAAACTAGCTGTTTCCATTGGCCCATGGAGTTGTATACTTCCATAAATTAAAGCTATTGGAGCTAACTCATTGAGTTTTCTGGGTTTATCATGCCAGGCTTTAGGTCAGCCACAACATTTTCACAAAGATGTGAACCAAATAACATTTAGGTCCTCACCAGATAATAAAAATAAAAATAAAAATAAAAAGGGAAGCCAACATACAGGCTGTTGCTTACAAGAGAATCAAGATGCAGTTAGCAAACTTATTTTGAAACGCTTTTCTTATTCACCCTAAGACCACAGAATCAGTGTTTTCACAACAATATCTACTACCAAGTGGCCTAGAGCAAGAAAATTTGTACCATTCCCATGGAAGTCAATATTCAAATATACTCGCAATGTTGCATGAAATAGACATCAACATTTGCATTGCCACACAACCTTGTGCATTGCCTTTGGAAGTACAATAGTAAACATACTAATCCCTCAAAACAAATACATGTGAAGAAATGCTGATTAAAGTTCAGACATTAGCTAGTGCTAGTTTTGAAAGATAATGGCTGAACCTAGAGACTAGAAAATACAGCTCTTCATTATACATTACTGAAGATGCACAATGCCCGTAGAAGAAAGAGTTATATTCTGAAATTTGGTGTTTTTATCACAACAAACCTAGCACCAAAACCATACAAGTAAATAATCTGTTAAAACTGCTATTATGTATATCAAATACAGTTAATTCCAGCAATAAAATTTAAAAGGACTATTCCAATCATTTGCAAGAAAATTTTTTTTTTCTTATTGGTACTTTGGGGAAAGGATATGAGGTAACCATAATTATGGTGAGACTAAAGTTTTATGAGACCAAGGGCAACTGGAACCATGAGATTTTGCAGTGTAGAAGTTTTCGGAGGACAGTAGAGATGCTAATTGTTCCCAAAATCCACACTTGCTTATGGAAATATAGAAAATTTCAGGGTGAAAGTATATTATCCAATACAAGTTAGACTTTATATTTTCCCTTAGAGATTAGTAAAAGCTAAAAACTACTACAAACACTGAATTTTTTAGGTAAAATTGATGAAAAACCTATCACATAAATGCATAAAGCAGAGCCTAACTAAGAAGGAAATATGCTGAGTTAAGTAGCCATCAGCCAAGTTTCAGTTTCTGAAAAAGAAAATTAAGAAAAAAAAATGTAAAACATGGCACCAGCAGCGATATAATATATTTTTCTAGCATACCACCTTCTGAAGTAAGCATTCATCTCTTAACACAACAGGACTAACTATTACAAAGTTATTATCATCTTTACCAAAAGATCAAAATACATAAAAAAATGAAAAATCAGCTACATAAAGTATTTTGATGTGCATGTTTGGACAAATAACCAAATTAGAAACGGTTTGGAAGATCTCTTGATGAAAGGAGATGATATATATCATTGTAGCATAAGAGCCAAATTTTAACTTATATCTTTTAGTAATAATAAGAAAAAAACAATTACATGCAACCATTAATAATGCAAAAGAATGTATTTACTAGTCTAACGCACAGCGAAAACACAGATTCTTTAATCTATTAGCTATCATCAAAATTAACCATACATCTTTAATATTCACATGTATATACAAGCACTTATCATTCATGTGTCCAGTGAAAAGAGAGATTTTGGCTTTCTGCAAATTAATGTTTTCTGCTTTAGTAAGTGAGCTAGCTGATTTTCAAACAAGGACAAGCAGGAGATGTTTCAAAGAAGTCCATGTAAGATATTTTGCAGTATGGAGAAGGTAAAGAGTTTAATTGTGTTTATTAAACCTTCAGTACACAGAAAAGATTATTATTCATTTTACTTGGAGATTCTGAAGCTCACTTTCTTAACAAACTTGAAGAGATGACGCCTTATATCTCTCTGAAGGTCTTCAGGTAAGTTCTCAAAAAGCATTTCCTCATTTACCCCTCTTGTGGCAGCCCAATTATATCGTTCAGCCTCTCGTACTTTCCTACACAACAATTTAGATGGTTAATTACAAACATCACATGCTTAACCATAATGCAAAATGTGGGCTTTGGTTAGTCATCTAAAAGGCAGCAGCCTCCAAGGGACCTAAGTTCAAAGTGCCAATAGAAAACCATAATGCAATGAGACAGGTATCGTGACAAATATATGCTTTTCAAGCAGTGGTGCAGAATAGTAAATCTATCACCATAATTTCACTTTTTTGACCCAAAGGAAGAAAAATCACACACACACACCACGATGACATTCACAAGTACAAGAAAGAGATAATAAGTGAGATAATGGTACTAAAGAATAATTCATAACCACTCCCAAAAGGGCCTAACCTTTCTGAGAGTTGAATAACTTAAATAACACACCTCTAACTGTGGAATTTTGCAACTTAGTCATCTCATTATCCATGACTTAGACTAAGTCCTAGCAGGAGAAAGTTTTGAATGATTAAATAAGTTAGTTGTAATCTTAGAATAATTGGATAAGTTGTCGTAATCTTAGATTAGGATTTAATCCTGTTAAGATAATAAGCTATAGCTTACCACCAGCACCTTTAGATAATACCCTGTATTAATTAATTTAAGCTTTTCATTCACCCAAATCATCTATTCTTTCATGGTATTAAAGCCAGGAGAAAATTCTGCTGGCGCACTCTAGAAGTTTAGTTTTTATTTCTGTCCAGTTCTATTTTGTATCACAAAACCCTTTCTTTTCATTACCAAACTTCTCCACCAGCCCTCCCAAAAATCCCACCATGAATAATTCTGTTGTTGTTGGAGATTTAAGATTGAATTAGTCAATATAGGAGATAATGTAGTAGTAGTAGTAGTAGTAGTAGTAGTAGTAGTAGTAGTTTCCATGTTTTTTAAGAGTTTATTGCTCTGTTTGTTATTCAGATTGATCCTTTTCTTATTGCAGAAAATTCCGGCTAGATTTAGGCTCCATTAGATGCATATAATGATTCTGTGATTCAATGAGAACTTCTAAGTAAGAAATAATTCTCTCAAAATTCTTGTTTCATGGTATCAGAAATACCGAACTGGTGACTGTTCTTCTGAAACAAAAAAAAAAAAAATTCTAAGTTACAATGGCTGGTGATAATCCAGTGACAGGAACCCTGGAGTCTTCAACTACCGGTGAACTGACACCCGTACGGGCGAAAACTGGATCCTCGACCTCCTCTTAAATTGACAATCTATCCCCGCAGATCACTCAACATTAACTGAACGGAATCAATTTTCATGAGTGATTCCAATCAGTTATGTTAGTAATTCGAGGTACAGGGAAGGTTGGTTACCTGACAGGAGCAATGCCGCAACCACAAGCGACAGCAGCAAATTATGAAGTTTGGGAGGCAAAAAACTCCAATGTCATGGCATGGCTTATTAATTCAATGGAGCCTAACTTTGGATGGATGTACCTCTTCTACAAGACAACAAAGGAGATTTGGGATGCCATGCAAAAAATTTACTCTGATCTTGAAAACACTTCCTAGTGTTTCGAGATCAGATCAAAGATATGCAATACTGTGCAAGGGAGTACTACAGTCACCAAATACTACAATTCTCTAATGAATTGTGGCAAGAGATGGATCTCTTTTATGAAGTGGGCTGGAGTTGTCCAACAAATGCTGAAAAATACAAAAAACTACTTGAGAAAGTGTGGGAAAACACTTATTTACAGTTAGTTGTAATCTTGTAATCTGTATATTTATATTTGTATCTCTAGAATTAAGTATTTGTATCCCTAAAATTAAGGACAAAAAAATCCCTCAATTATAGGATCAGTTTTTAAGAAGATTTAGTTTCCTAGTTTAACCCCTAGTTAGTTGTATATAAACCTAAGGTTCTTGTACAATTCTTAATAAGCAGTTTTTCAATATAAATTCAGTTTTTACTCTTAGTATTTCACACAGATTTATTTCTTAGTTTTTCCACATGGTATCAGAGCTTTAGGCTCTTCTTGGGAAGCAAAATTTTCAGCCTTCATTGCTAACTTCTATTTTAGGCCTTCATTGTCGAACTCTGTTTAAGCCTTCATTGTTGAACCCTGTTAAGGCCTTCATAACCATTCTATTTTTCTCTTCCCTAGCCTTCATTGCTAAGAGTCATTTCTAGTTATATCTTAAAACTTGTTTCAGTTCAAAAAACAAATATCACTACCACCCAATTTGAAGAAGTGTCAACTGAAAAAATCATCGGAGTACTACAGATGTCTCGAAAACAATAAGAGTTCGACAGAGAAGTGATTGAAAGGCTGAGAAACTTATTGAAAACCCTTGAAAAGCCTACTGTGGTATATTTCTTGGGTAAGGTCTCTAGTTCAAGTAAAGCTTCTGGTTCTCATGGATTAAATGTCTCGGTTAAGCCTATTACGAGTTCTTGGGTCATTGACTTAGGAGCCACAGACCATATGATACATTCCTCACAAAAGTTTAGTATATATACCCTGTGTCCTAGTAATAAGAAAATTGTTCACTTATTACAGTGGCAGGATTAGGAGATGTTCAAGTTAATCACTTGTTTGTTCTAGAAAATGTTCTTCATGTTCTTGAATTGTCTACTAATCTGATATCTATACAAAAACTTACCAGAGATATGAATTGCAAAGTGACCTTTTATCCTTCTTACTGTGAATTTTAGGATCGAAGTTCGGGGAAGAGGATCGGACTTGCTAAGGAAAAGGATGGACTGTACCATCTTAAGACATCAAATAACACAAGTAATATCAAGAATAGTTTATCTTTGTCATTTCTTTCTGAAAAATCTTTCAATAAAGACAAAATCTAGCTTTATCATTTCCGTCTTGGACATTCTTCTTTGAGAAACATGTTTCCTTCTTTGAGAAACATGTTTCCTTCTTTGTTCAAAGGATTAAATGTCGAAGATTTTCATTGTGATGTTTGTGAACTTGCAAAGCACAGGCGTGTGTCTTTTCTAATTAGTAACAAAAGAAGTTCTACTCCCTTTTACTTGATTCATAGTGACATTTGGGGTCCCTCTACAATTCCTAATATTTCTGGTACAAGATGGTTTGTTTCATTCATAAATGATTGTACTAGGGTCTCTTGGGTTTTTTAACTTAAATCCAAATCAGATGTGAATAGTGTGTTTTTAAGCTTCCAAACACGATCCAAAATCAAATTGGAGTGAGAATCAAGAGATTTTAGGTCTGATAATGCAAGAAACTATTTCAATTAAAGTCTATCCACCTATTTCCAAAAGGAGGGGATTATCCATGAGTCATCTTATGTTAATACTCCACAGCAGAATGGAGTGACAGAGAGGAAAAACAGCCATTTACTAGCCACAACCCGACCCTTCTTTTTTCAAGCAAATGTACCCAAATCTTACTAGAGGGAAGCTGTTCTCATTGCCACACACATTATAAATAGGTTACCTTCAGAGGTTTTGGGATTTAAAACTCTTATAGAACTACTCTCATAATTCTATCCCAACCTTAATACCACAAACAACCTCACACCTAAGATACTTGGTTGTACATCATTTGTTCATGTTTACAATCATAATAGGGGAAAGTTGGATCCAAGAGCAATTAAATGTATCTTTGTGGGATATTCATCAACTCAGAAAGGGTATAAGTGCTATCATCCTCCTACCAAAAAATTCTGTGTCTGTAGATGTCACTTTTGAAGAAAGTAAATCATTTTTTCCTACACCTTATCTTCAAGGTGAGACTTCATTTATAAAAGATAAGGATAAAGACTTCTTTTTGCTTGATTTCTTCGTCAACATTTTCACCCATTAATTCTTTTGAGTTGAAACCTGTTTCTACTGAGCCCAAGTCAAACATTGAATTTGAGTCTGAACTCATTCCAAATATAGAAAATGCGACAAAGGATAATATTGTTCTTGATTCTATGAAGGAATTACAGGTGTACTCAAGAAGGAAAGTTCCAGATCCTGAATCAGTGCCAGTCTAAGAACTTGATCCTAACTCTGGAAATGAGGTAACTACAATTTCTGACTCTGTTTCTCAAAATGAGCATGAATCTCCTAAAACCATAACTAGTGATTATGATCTGCCTATTGCCATTAGGAAAGGAACCAGAGAATGTACCAAGCACCCACTATACCCAATCTTTAATTTTATGTCATGTGAAAAATTCTCACCATCCCACAAAAATTTTCTTAGGAGCCTAAACACTATTTCTGTTCCAACTACATTATTCGAGGCATTATCTAGTGAGAAATGGAGGCAAGCTATGAAAATAGAAATGGAGGCCTTAGAGAAAAATAAGACATAGGAACTGGTAGAGTTGCCTAAAGAAAAAAATCGAATGGGGTGTAAATGGGTTTTCACTGTAAAATACAAGGCGGATGGTACTGTTGAAAGGTATAAAGTCAGGGTAGTGGCTAAAGGCTACACTCAAACCTATGGAGTGTATTATTAGGAAACCTTTGCTCCTGTTGCCAAGATGAATATAGTTAAGATTTTGTTATCATTAGCTGCAAATTACAATTGACAGCTTCAACAATTTGATGTAAAGAATGTTTTTTTACATGATGATTTGGAAGAAGAAATATATATGAAGGTTCCACCGGGATTTGGGGGTCATCTAGAAGCAAACAAAGTATGCAAGCTGAAAAAGGCTTTATATGGCCTTAAACAGTCTCCTAGGGCTTGGTTCGGGAGATTTGCCAAAGTGATGTTAGCAATGGGATATAAACAGAGTCAAGGAGATCACACATTGTTTATCAAGCACTCTGATTTAGGGAGAGTCACAATTTTATTAGTGTATGTTGATGATATAATTGTAATTAGAGATGATGAAAAAGAGAGAGAATCTCTAAAATAGTGTTTGGCTAGAGAATTTGAGATAAAAAAGCTAAGGAGATTGAAGTACTTCCTAGGAATTGAAGTAGCTCAGTCACGGCATAGTATTTTCATCTCACAACAAAAACATATGATGGATCTTTTGAAGGAAACTGGGATGCTCGTATGTAAACCTGCAAATACTCCTATAGA